GTTCTTTTGCTTTAGCATCCTTGCATGCATGTGAGTGTTGCCATGACAGTATGCTTGCCATGCTGCTAAATTCTTATATGATAAATTGTTTGAATGCCTGTGGGTGAAGGTTAGATTGTTTGAGTTGGAGAAACTCGTTGAAATCCGTATTTTAGCCTACTTGCGAGTAGTAAATTCCAAAGTGTTTTCTAAAAAAACGGATATGCAATGCTTATTTCCAAATTAGACAATCTAGTCTATACTTGTTTGTTGCGCGCATAACATAGTAATTCTAGGCTAATAATTGGAATAAGAACACATAATGTTTTCAAAACGGGTATCACAGTTAGTAGAGGCCGATCTTCGGATCGGGCGAGAGGGGGTGCTCATAACTGACCTTCCCCAATCGTACCCTAGCTCCCGAGCCGAGAAACTCCGGTGATGGCGGACATGTGGCCTTCGGCACCGACTCAGGGTTTCCTAAATTCCCCCATAAAAAATATTTAGGTGGCGACTCTGTATCTGGCAAAGTAGTCCATGTTTGGCACTTCTTTTCAAAAAATCTGTTTCTCAAAACGATTTGCCAGATTTGGACTCTTTGGTTCAAGATTAAGAACCATGACACAAATCGAGTCCGAACTGTAGTAGCGAAGGCCCCACGCGGGCGCGTCTACAAATATATGTATTACAATGTTCTACAATTGTTTTGCATTCTTTATAATGCAATTGTTACATGAATTAATTATGAAATATATGGCTTATTCTTCTTCTTCTTCTTCCCTTTTTTTTTTTTTCCTCCCATTACTTGGGTAGTTCCTTGGGTATGAGCTTCCCCTTGAGGTGCCCCACAAGTCGCTCTTCGACCTTTGGCATGCACCAGGTCATCCTTTTAAGCTATCTTTTGGTGAGGGCCTGTTGGTTTTTGTATGCACCTCATGCATGGAGGTTTCTGTCCCTTCTGGTGGTTTTTTTGAGTTTATGTCTTTCATTACTTAAAAAAAATTAAATTTTGACTCAAGATGAAGTAATATGGGCAAAGAGAATTCCTGTAAATGCTGATCAAGAAAAAAAAGAAAAAAAGAAAGAAAAGATAATTCATGCAAATGACCCAAGATGTCAATTTCGTGGTTTTTTGAATTGATTGATTCAAGTGAATCTTTATAATATCCAAAAACTCTACGTGAGATGTGCTAAAAACACAATAATTGTTTCCTCAGCATCTTATTGTAGAACTAATAAGCAATATTCAGCTTCCTTCTCTCTTTCCATCATTGTTCAGCATGACTGACTTTCACTGACTAAATCTTGTACTTTGCATGATTTTGTTTATACTTCTGAGTTTGATGATTATTTGAAATTGTTCTTATATTTGTCAACCTCAACTTTTTGCTCTCTGTGCTCTAGGCTGAAGCTGAGCTTATATCTTCTATTGTCACCTTTTTCAAGCGAATCGGGATCACAACATCAGATGTTGGGTTTAAGATTTCAAGCCGGAAGGTACAAACTATCCCTTTTTCTTTTTGTATCAATTTAATATTCTAATAACCATAGGATCACCCTCACCTTTTCTGCAATTCCCCTGTCACTTTCATGTAAACCCGGCAAAGTCTTTGTGTAGTTGAAGCTTTATAACATGTTTTTTAACTCCCGAGTTCTCTAAAATTAATTGAGCTTCAGCATTAGCTATTTGTTCTCCTGAACCAAGTTTTTGACTAAAGTATTATGGAAATACTTCAAATTGCATTACTAGTTCATTTATTGTCAAGTAAATGTTACAAAATGATAACCGTTTGATGCTGGCCTAGGTTTCAAAATATGAATTATGATGACTTAAAATGGAAAACTTTATGAAGTGAGTGTCAGATATCCCTTGATTTCTAGACATAAACAAGTACCAATTAGACTAAAAGGGAAGTTCTATAGAATGGCTATTAGACTAGCGATGCTGTATAAGACGGAATTTTGGAAAACTAAGAAACAACATGCAGATAAGATGAGTGTTGCTGAGATGCGGATGCTAAGGTGGATGTGTGGCAAAACTAGAAAAAATAAAGTTATGAATGAGTATTTTGAGAATGGGTAGGAGTAGTATCGATAGAAGAGAAGTTGAGAGAGAATAGAATTAAGATAGTTTGGTCATATACAATGGAGACTAACAGAGGCAATAGTGAAGAGTTGCGATACAGTGATGGTAGATGATAGTGTTAGGGGAAGGGGTAGACCTAAATTGACGTGGACTAGTGTAGTAAATAGAGATATGAATCTCCTTAATTTGACTAACAAAATGGCCTTGGATAGAGTCGAGTGGAGAAGAAAGATTTATGTAGCCGATCCTATTTGATGGGATTTCAGGCTTGGTTTGATTTGGTTTGGTTTGGTTTGGTTTGGTTTTGTCAGATACCCCAAAATCTAGCAAGTGTACCTCCAAATAAATGGACAGAACTAAACTAATAAGCAGCCTCATGATTTCCAGAGATATCGTATAGAACAAATGACTACATGAAACTCAATTCAACCACTGCCAACTAACAATCAAGTAGTTAATTACATGTAATAAAGTTTGCAATCATGTCTATGTGATAGCATATGGCAGCAGCAGCAGGAGGGAAAGAAAGTACAGATGAGGAACGAAGTTGGAGACAAGAGAGAGATGCAGAGAATAGCATAGGAAGACATAGACAGGAAGAAGAAGTTGCAGGGAAGAAGTTCCTGTGGATGCAAACAGAGTTGAGAAGGAGATACCAGCATAGAGGAGAAACCTGCAACATAGAAGAAGAAATATATATAGAAAATTAGAAGAAACATAGAAATAGATGCAGAAAAGAAGAAACAGAGGAGGAGATGCTGAGAAGAACCTGCAGAGATGCAACAACAGATAGGTAGAACTGCAAAGCAGCAGCAACAGAAAAGCAGAGATGGAGAGTAGAGAGGGGAAGGAGACAACCCTATTCCCTGTAGCAGTGCCACCACTCTAGAGCCATATGGGTGGTCACTTAAGTGATCATGTGACTAGCATGTGAATATGGGAACAACCCCACATCATAAGTTAAAACATAAAATAAAACTATAAATTTACCCCAAACCAAATGAAATAAATAGCAAAATAAAAGCAATTAAATCCTGAATTCCATCACAGTGGCACCTATTTTTCTTGGATAAAGTACAACTATAGAGTTGATTATTGGGAGTTATGGGTCATAAATTTATAATATAATGAGAGTTTTTATTTTAGGGCATTGATTTAGACCCCCTTAAAACACCCACCCCCACAACCCCCTCACACACATGGAGGTTGGGGATTGGGTGAGAAGAAAAAAAAAAAGAAAAAAAAAGGAAAAGTTGACCAATCAAAACTAAAGGGAGTCAAGGGGGTCTCAACCTTTATTCTTTATTTTAATGGAACCAATAAGGTCTAATTTTATGAATATGCTAGGTTAAGTTTGTTGTTTAATGGATCGATTGGGCACAGTGTTACCGTAAAACACTAACACCCTAGCGATTTATGTCTTGCAATGCACGTTCTAAAATATAGTACACTTATGTTCTAAAATAGTGAATTTAGCGATCCAAAGCGATACTATAATTTTTTATATATATTTTTTACTTTATGTTTTTCATTAAAATTCAAATATAATGAATTAAAATTGAGATGGAGTGAAGTTTTTGATTGACCAAAAGTAAAACAGTCGGTCATAATACTCATAGAACTGTGTTGTTGAATAATAAATTTGAAGAAAATAAACTATTAATATATTGGATTTCAAATTAAGAACTCTACCCCTATTGTACCACATTCCCGTTCCTATTCCTCGTACCAGAACGATAATTTCTAGGTAACATATATTGGGCTTATCACATTTCAATATTTAGGGTTGAAAAGAATGGTTTTGAGATATGATTTCAGGTGTAAAAGTGCAATAAAATTAAAAGAAAGAAAAGAGAATGAGGAGATGAAAACACTGGTGGTATCATATCCAAATCCCATCGATATCATACCTAAGGTTAGTGTTTCATCATACAATTTTAAATGAGCTTCAAATGCTTAATTTTTTGGAATTGATCTCCATTGAATAGAAAGAATCATTTAGGTCTTTATTGACTTTAAATAAATCTGTACTCTTGTAGGACTTTGATTCCATCTTTGGAGGTTTATTGTGTTTGTCTAGGTACATGTCCATTGAAATAGAAATTTATTGTGTAGGAAACTATACCTAAAACTAAAAGGTGATGATGTTAGATGACCAATTGTCCCAAAAGCTTTAGTCACTAGGAAAGGGGCCCAACAATGTATATCAAGCTATTCAATACCTTTTGTCACTTGTTACCTCGTATTGCATGTGGAGATGTAAACATCCATGCATAGAAAGAAGAAAGAATGCGAACAATAGAAGAATGAATGCAAATGGGGATCAAATTCTTAGGCAAGGCAATCAGTTACTAGGAGTATTAGTTGTAGCCTAATGGTTTGGATTTTCAAGTACTTGTTAAGGGAACTTCTAGAGCTCAATAGAAATGTATTTCTCAAGGATATTCCCATTTTCTTTGCTTGTTAATTTGGGTGATGGGTAAATGTTCAGTTTTAGGAAGATATGTGGAAAGGGGATGGGGAAGGGTCTTTTGATATTTTATTCCCTCATTATTATTGTTTATCAAAAAATCATAATGTTTCTATTTCGTTAATGGCTTCTTCGTTTGTAGCTCTAATCTCGTGGAACTTCAATTTCTATAGGAATCTTAATGATCGTGAATCTCACTAGGTAGCATCTTTGTTATCCATTCTTGATGATGTTTCTTTGAGAGCGAGGGATAGGAGGATTTGGACTGTTCATTCTTTAGGAGTGTTTTCTGGCGAGTTCCTTCCTTGATAATCTTATTTATACTCCAGATTTACCAATATTTGATAATCGCCAAAACATTTGAAATAGGGTAAATTACACCACTTGTCCCTATAGTTTAGGTGAAATTTCACTTTAGTCCTTGTAGTTTTCATTTCATCAATTTTTACCTACACTTCCATTTTGGTTTAGTTAGTGTGTAATATATGTGAAACTAGGGTTAGGCTAGAGAGAAAGAGAAGAGAGAATGAGAGAAGAAGAGAATGCGGTTTTGGGTTTCTTAATCAAACCCTCTAGCAACACCATATATTTATAGAGATAAAAAGTGACAATACAATATGACCATAGTACCCTTAACAAAAACCAAAAATAAAATAACATATAACTAATCTAACACTCCCCCCTCAAACTGGAGCATAGAGGTCGAACATGCCCAGCTTGATAGACAATCGCTGAAAGGGAGTCTGAGCCAAGGGTTTTGTGAGGATATCTCCCAGCTAATCATCAAAACGAACATATGGAGTCACAAGGTGCTTTCCCGATAACAAATCTCGAATAAAATGGCAATCAACCTCAATATGTTTCATGTGCTCATGAAACATTGGATTATTGGCAATGAAAATAGCTGCCTGATTATCACAACACATGTGCATAGGAGTAGGAACTAGAATACCAGAATCCTGAATAAGTGAGTGAACGCATAACATCTCAAAAGCAGTATAAGCCATGGCACGTTACTCAACCTTGGCACTAAAATGAGCGACCGCAGTTTGTTTTTTGCTACGCCAAGTAACAAGGTTACCACCAGCAAAGGTACAGAAGCAAGAAGTCGAACGACGATTAGTTTGACTGCTAGCCCAATCAGCATCACTGAAACCAGTGACAGACAAAGGACGATAGAGCAACCCAAAGCCCAGAGCACTTTTCAAGTAACGTAAGATATGACACACGGCTTCAAAATGAGGATGACGGGGTGCATACATAAACTGACTAACCACACTCATGGCATAGGTGATATCCGGATGAGTGACAGTGACATAAATCAACTTCCTAACCAAACGACTTTAATGACCAATGCCAGGAAACAAATCCCCAGTCTCACCATCAAGTTTAACACATGAGTCTATAGGAGTATCAATAAGACGAGCACCTAAGAAGGCAGTCTCAGATAGAAGATCGAGGACATATTTGCACTGAGAGAGAAACACTTCCTGAGAAGAACGAGCTACCTCAATCCTAAGGAAGTACTGAAGTTGGCCCAAGTCCTTAGTGTGAAACTGTTGACCAAAATAACATTTTAAATCAGTAACACCAGTGGAGTCATTACCCAAAATAATGATGTCATCCACATACACAATCAGAACAATAATCCCAGTAGAAGACTGTCGAACAAAGACAATAATCCCATAAGTCAACACAACAGCATTGAAATGATCAAACTAAGCACGAGGAGATTGCTTGAGACCATATAGAGCCTTCCGCAATCGACCAACAAGATGCTCACTACTAGGAACAACATAACTCGGCAGTTGATCCATAGAAACCTCCTCCTGTAGGTCGCCATACAAAAAGGCATTATTGATATCAAGCTGATACAAAAGCCAAGATTAGCTAATTGCAATAGAAAGGAAAATCCGAACGGAGTTAAGACGGGCCACAGGT